TTACTGACTCCATTAAAGCAAAGTTTACAACATGGAGAGAAGCAGAGCTTAAAATATGCCTCAGCAGATGGACAGAGAGTGTCAGTGATGCCATATTTCAAAGGCATCTGCTAGTTTGTTATCATTTAGCTTGGAGTCAGAACTGTAGCATAAACCAGAGTTAGTTGGGAAGAGAATGATTTACTTGACCTTGCATTTGTAGAACTGACAGCACGAACCTCATTAATTCCCCAGGTCACTCTCAAAGACATAAATTGGTTTGAAATCGAAATAAGTGGAGATTTACCAGACCCGTGTAAGGGATTATGAAATCTCTATAACCCAAGAAAGCATTTTCAAATCATTCTTTTAATAAATCAAACTGACTTTTAGGAGAAGGCTAATATGTTTAATCAGGGAGTTTTGGAACTTTTTGTTCATATCAAACAAAAAATACAGTTATATTTCATTTGAGTATCAACTGAGAGTGATAATTCACTCCTGTTTCTTCTTGGCCTGCTCATTGCTGTTGTTAAAAGCCACAGGCATTGAAAGAAATGGAAGCATAAATAACATTAGTGCACTCAGCTATTTTAAAAAGTCTCAAATATCTTTTGGCTGTTGCTCAAAACTTCTCATCTGAAAATAAGCCTTACCTTTTTCCATTTCAATCTTTAACCTCAACTTTGCTGGAAACACAGATGTTTATCTAATAATTTGAAGGCAAGCTAATTCCTTTGGTCTTTCAAATTGTCATTTGCTCTTTTTTTTGTTATAATTCACATAAAAATCATAGAATCCTGGGCTAGATGCCAGGTTATTAACACTAGTTCTGCTAAAAGGACCATCAAGTCATGGAAACTAGCCAGCCACAAACACTATTCTTTGCTTATTTTGACTCTTTGAAGTTTGTTATTTTCAGTTATAATAGAAAAATAAACATCAATTAAACAGGACAATTGGTGAAGGCTGAGAATCAGGGAAATGAAACAGAGGCACAAGAAAAGTGTCAGTTGCCTCTTTACTTTAAACAAACAAAATAATGAAAGCAAAGTCAAAGCTATGATTTTTTGTAACCAGATTTTTATTGTGTTTCAGGGAGAGTTATCTCAGCCTGCAAAGCCTATATAATTGCAGATTTTCAGTCATTCAACACTGAGCACTCACCATCAATAATAGAAACGTCTGTTATTATAATGGACAGCTGGAAGGAGTGAGAACATAAAACCAACTTCATTAACAGGTCATCATGGCCTAAATGATGGTGTATCACAATGGCACAGTACCCGACTTAGAAAATTCCTCCACTCAATGTGTTAGTTGTCTATCTCCCTTACCTCAACGCATGAGGCATCACTTGAGAATGGAGATAGCTGGAATACAGCATGAACGAGCAATCATTTGTGACAGCGATGAAGTGCAGGCTGTTGAAATTTGTTCCTGGAATGTTAGTGGCTTCTTCTCACTTACATCTGGAGGCCTTTTTCAAAAGTTGTTTCTGCTGTCAAAGGGCCTCACAGAGAGTGACGAAGGGCTGCAAGCCTTCTATCACACAGACAAAGTATAAAGCATTGTGGGCTTGTTGCTGTCATGATTGAGACATATGTTATGTTCAGATATGGCACTATCAGGCCTGTCAATCATTTATCACCTGATTAAATGGACTATGTCAAGTATTGAGTATGTGGGAAGTCGTGGGGGGGATATGAAAGCACAGTCAAAAAGAAGCCTGAGAGGAGACTGAGAGATTGAATTAATAAACACATAATCAATAAAAAATGAAAAACTTTCAGACACAATGTTAAAAAGGATATAATTAATTAACCTGTAAGATTCATGAATATGTACTAACAATAGCATTGCATTGAAGAAAATAAAATGCAGGGCAAGACAAAGTAAAAAGGTGCAGAGATATCCAATCCTTTGCAAATTGGCAGAAATAGATGGGAAAATGTTTTGTATTCCTGGGTAAAGCTGGATAGCGATGGCTGCCTGGTTATTTGACCACATATACATCATTGTCAAACTCAAGGCAAACAGCCAAATAAGGCAAAGAACTGTGGATGCTGAAGACCTGAAACAAAACCAGAAGATTAGAAAGTTACCAGTGTCCATGGAAGCATACCAAGAGTGTGTAAATTACCATTAATATCTTTTTACTTCCCTTTCCCAAGTTTTTTTGATCCTATTTATATAACATGGTTAACATTCAGAATATTTATGATGGCATTTAAACATTTCAAATGTAAACATGACTTTCACAGCCACAGTAACAGTGTGGGCAATTGACAGGTGAGTGTAATGTTCTTCTGTTAAAAGGTTCTTCTGTTAAAATGTGCCTGTGAGTTTGATGATGATCTGTGCAAGCAGTGGTGCTGATGTGTGGTCCTACAGGATGAAGGGCCTAGATGTAGGATTGGTAGCGCTGTAAAAGACTGGAAATATATGCAAAAGAGAAAGTGAAATGAGACACTGGTCTGAACTAAGAAGCAAAAATCTAACAAACAATAAGAAGAGGAATATTTGGCGCAAGCATAAAATGTAAATGGATAAGAGGATATCATGTGCAAACAGAAAAGAACAGGTTGCATGAGATAATGAGAGGTGGTGAAGCTCAGAGAGACAATTAGAGCAACTGGAGGAATGGTAGGATTGAGGTAGCACAACAGAAATGTGCAGTTTGGAAGAAAACTAGCTGCATCTCTAAGGTCTGCCAAAGACAGATACATTTTCCTGGAGTGTCGGAGGCTGAGGGGTGACCTTATAGAGGTTTATAAAATTATGAGGAGCATTGATATATTGAATAGCCAAGGTCTTTTCCCCAGGATAGGGGAGTCCAAAATGAGAGGGCATAGGTTTAAGGTAAGAGAGAAATAAATAAAAGAGACCTAAGGGGCAACTTTTTCACACAGAGGGTGGTGCATGTACGGAATGAGCTGCCAGAGGAGGTGGGTACAATTAAAACATTTAAAAGACATCTGGATGGGTACATGAATAGAAAGGGTTTAGACGGATATGGGCCAAATGCTAGCAAATTGGACTAGACTAATTTAAGATATCTGGTCGGGATGGACAATTTGGACCAACTGTTTCCGTGCTGTACAGCTCTATGACTCTAAAACATTTTGTCCTATTTTTTCTAATCACTAAAGGTAAAGTTGTCACAGTCCCAGAGGGCTTCTCTCTCATTCATGAGAGAAGTCAAATGGTGAGTTTAACTTGGACGTCACCATGCCTCAGGTGAGGAGCGAGTTTGAGAAGGAGATTCCTTCATGGTAACCTCAGCCAGTATGGGCCTTGAACCCATGCTGTTAGCATCACTTCGCTTGACAAGCGAGCCAACTGAACAAACTGACCCCCTTTAACCTGTATCTGTTTAGTTAGTTTCCTTTTCAACTATTCATCTACTTTCATTTTCTGTTAACGTTTACTGACTGTGCAAAATTAAGATGATTTCCAATTGTAAGAAAAAGCTGCAAAATACTTAGGAGTGATATTGGCAGGTTAGCAGTGAGATTACACAATTGATAGATACAATTTAGTCCAGAGATGTGTGGCATTGCATATTGAAGAAAAAATGAGGGCGTGGACATTGAATGAATGGATGCCAAACAATATGGCTGAAGCGTGAGATCTGGCGGTTTGAATACATGGGCCACAGAATTAACCAACTCCCAATAAAAGGATTTTGATGCATAATCAAATATCCAATGCAGGTAGCACAAACATTTCTATGGTTTGCTCATTTAAATGAATGCAGCATGTGGCCAAAGATAAGGGTGCAGTTGAGTGGTGGCATGTCTAGGCAGGAATGCAAAATGATAAGAATCTACAGCAAGTTCAACCTCAGCAACTTAAAAAGTCAGCCTGCATTTCTAATAGGGAGATATATGTTGGATAGTGATGGCTTCTGTATCATCAAATGATGATACACTAAATGTATCATCAAATGTCATATCCTGCCAATTAAACAACTAGTATCTCTCAGTTGTTATGCCTGGACCCCAAGCAAAGTTTCCCAAATCGTTATGGTTCCACTGAGGATGCCCCAAATGTTAACATGCTCAAAAACAAAATTGCTGGAAAAGCTCAGCAGGTCTGGCAGCTTCTGTAAAGGAAAAATGGTCTTTTGTTCTTCATTTGCTGCCTCGGTTGGTCGCAACCAGGTTCATTTTAAAACGGATCCTTCCCATGTGCATTCCTTTCTCCAGAAATTAATGTACTTATATTTTAAAAGTAGCCAATTTAACCAGGCTTTCTTGAATGAACAAAGAGTGAGTTTAATTCATTACTAAATGCAGAAAGAATTAACAACACAACACACAAACACACAGGTTAGAAATAAGAGGTGGGTCCAAAAAAGATAGAAATGAGAAAAATGTAAGATCAGTTTCAGAGTGAGAGTGTCTTTACCTGAAACACAAAGGTAACTAAAGGATGATTCTTTGATTGTGATTGGTATAGCATATTGACAGTCAAACCCAGGCTGGTACACAAGTGCATTCAGTCCCATTAATACACTCCAGTAGAATTGAAAAGGTTGGTATTGTGTATTCTTCAAAGGGAAAAACACAAAATGTCTCTGTAATTTTGGACGTAATCCATATGGGCAGTTTGCTGTTGAGCAGGGATTGTCAGCCCTTCAATACCTTTGTAATCACAAGAAATCAATGTTCAATCTCTTTGAAGTTTCTTTGATATTTTAGATGCTATGTTCCATCATTCCACATCAGATTTTTTTTTTTTGCCAGGCAACTACTGAATTTGCACCTGCCGTCATTTTGTCACTGATCAATTCTAAAAATTAAAACCTATTGGAATTAAAGATTAAATATGCCTATCGTATTTTAGAGTTCCGACCCATTATTACAATACTTTGATCAATGCACCTCACTCACATCACTCACCTATTTTTACCAATTACAGCACATTCTTAACATTCATAACTTTATCTTACCTACTTATAATTTACATTATTATCTCATAAGCTGAAACTTCTTCCATCCTAGTTGTGGATGCCAGTGTCATAGAGGACCCCGGCAGCACATATACTAAAAACGGAGAAGATTAGCATTGCCCCAGTGCAAGGATGACATGAAAATTTGTGAAACATTCCATAAAGTGACTCTTGTGGTGCAATGGCAGTGACCCTATCTCTGAGTCAGGAGACCTGAGTTCCGGTCCCAACTGCTCCAGAGGCATGTCATAACATCTCTGTAACAGGTCGGTTAGAAAGTATTTCAACGAGGATTGCAAGCTGTCGCAGCAGTCCAGCAACCTGTCTTCCAACACATTGCTAGGATTATTCAGGTACCATCCTTGAAAAAGGGCAGTGACAACATGGAGCACAACACTGCTGTCCACTTTCAGGACACCAGCATTTTCCTCTCAGTACTACCACACAGCTGAGGCAGCTGTCACCCATGACAAGGTTGTATAATTTATAAATGAGCTTTCTAAAGTCAGAAATACTTGACAGCATCTACCGTCTCCCTTGACATACTTCCACCAGTCATGTTGCGCCACTGAGGTAGCACTGTCTGAAGGCAATAGAACCCATAGTGTCATACGGTCATAGAGCTGTACGGCGCAGAAAAAGGCCTTTTAGCCCATTCCATCCGCACCAGTCAAAAATTACCACCTAACTATTCTAATCCCATTTTTCATCACTTGGTCTATAGCCTGTTTGCCTTAGAATCACAAATGCATAACTGAATACTTCTTGAATTTTATAAAAGTTTCTGCCTCGACCATCCTTACAGGCACTGAGTTCCAGACTCTCACCACCCTCCAGGTGAAAATGTCATTTCCTGCAGAATTTCACTGCCAGACTGGCCATGGAATAGGTAACGAAAGAACCAACAGAAGGATATAACCTCCTTTGTTTCTTCTTCACCAATTTACCCAGGATTCATTAGTCCATGACAGCATTTGCAGGAGAGATCACCATACTGCCCTCGTAGAGTCTCAGTTGCATTTTCACTCCATATTGTTATGTGGCAATAACGCCGTATGCAAACGTATAAATTAAGAATGGATCTAGCAGCTCAAAATAAAGCAAAAAATTTGCCATCAGCAAACACAGAATTGTATTCCACTACAATCACAGCTTCAGCATATATGCTCAGCATATTTCTCATTTTTCCATCACCATCAGCCAAACCAGCCAACCCTGGTTTTTTGAGGGGTAAAGAAGAGAGTCTGATATCCCTGAAAATGAGATGTTACTGGAAAATCGGCCAGTATTCAGGTGGGAATGCTGAAGACCTGTGTTGATGAACAAATAGCATCCTTGGCTAAAGTTTTCCAATATAGCCACAAGGCTAGCATTTACCCAACAACATGAAAAATAGTCACCATATGTCATGTTTACAAAAAGGAGTACAAATTAATCACCCCTACCCATCCCTCCCAAACTCCCTTGCAAATCCATCAGCCTACTCTTAACCACTACTCAACAATACCCAATCAGCAATGTGCAGTTTGAGTTCACTAGGACTTCTCAACCCCAGATTTCATTACAACCCTAGATGGAATCTTCGCTGATGGCAAGCTAGAAAGCAGGAAGGCCATTGAATTAGGTATAATGGTGGTGCACCCAAAAAGCGCCCTCTCCCGTACCCACCTTCCTGCCTCCACAAGAATTGTTATGGGCAGGAGGACCAATGGTGAACATTCCTATCCTGCCACAATTTGAGGTTTGTATGTGGTAAATTAAGGACCATTTAAGGGGCTCAGTCCACGGCCACTGCCACTGGTATTAGCCTCGCTGCAGATGGAATTGTTGCCTATGGCATGCACAACAACTACAACTGTGCAGTCAGCTATTCAACTCTCAAATGAGGAAGCAGGCGGGATGGGGGATATCAGCCAAAGGCTTCCTATTCTTTATTTTATTCATTCATGGGATGAGGGGATCACTGGCTAGGCCAGCATTTGTTGCCCATCGCTGGTTTCCCAGAAGGCAGTTAAGATTCAACCACATTGCTGTTTGTCTGGAGTCACAGACCAGGTAAGGATGGCAGTTTCCTTACCTAAAGGACATCAGTTTCTCCAATAATCGACAATGGTTTCATGGTCATCACCAGGCTCTTAATTCCAACATCCACCATGGTTGGATTTGAACCTGGGTCCTCTAAATATTTCCTGGGTATCTCGGTTAACAGTCTAGAGATAACACCACTAGGCCATCACCACCCCTTCAATGCCTGATCAAGTGACTCCATATCAGGAACTGGGGACGTGCCACTAAAAGCTATCCCCTTTGTCCTTCCTGTCAACCTGCTCTCCATGACCCACCCTGCAAACTAACTTCTGATATTACTGACCTCCCAAGTGGCTAGCATTACTTAAAGACAACCTGCAACCATAAAAGGTGGGTGCATTGTGGCTGCAAGAAGTGATATGGTGCTTTGTGAAATTGATTTGCACTGTCAAAAATGAAGCGTTGAACATGTGAGACACCATGCACTAAGGTTTTCCAATAACACGCTGAAGGTCTTTTTGGAGTAGATGAAGAGAAGGTCAATTATCTTATATCCTCAGAGGAACAAAAGGCCTACTGATAAATGCTTAAACAGTAGGAATAGTGAAGGTCAAAGGTGTCACTTCAAGAAGATGGTTGGAGTGCAAAATACGTGTAATAAGCTGATTCAAGTCAAGGTGAGTGAGTTCAAACCTACATTGGCTTATACCTTTTTTTCCCTTTATTCACTAACAGGATGAGGGCATCACTGGCTAGGTAGTATTTATTGCCCATCCCTAATTGCCCAGAGGGCAGTTAAGAGTCAATCACATTGCTGTGAGTCTGGAGTCACGTGTAGGACAGACCAGATAAGGATGGCAGTTTCCTTCCCTAAAGGGCATTGGTGAACCAGATGGGTTTTTCCCCAACAATCAACAATGGATTCATAATCATCATTAGATTCTTAATTCCAGATATTTCATTGAATTCAAATTCCACCATCTGCCATGGTGGGATTTGAACCCACAACCCCAGAATGTTATTGGGGTCTCCGGATTAGCTGTCCAGCAATAATACCACTCTGCCATCAATTCTCCATAAACTGCCAATTGTACTAATAATGTTATCCACTGCTCAATTCAACACAATCCCCACACTCACCTATCAACAATTTCTATCAAATAACAGTCAACCCTTCAATTCATTCAGTTTACCTCACACGCACTAACAATTCACAACTTGAACAAACTAGTGCCTATTCAACAATGACAGCCACGTTAGCCAAACATGTTTCAGGACACTCACTGACACAGTTTTTTTTCCTTACATGATAGGTGGCATGAGGAACAAAAGTGGAGAAGGATTAAAATGTCTTTATGTTGTAACCCTTGTGAGTAAACAGTGCCAATCATCATGAGAAGGTGTATCACTAACAGCGTGGCCCTAGGGACCCGTGAGGGATTGTTGATGTGTATGGTGTATGTTGTAGATATTAACTTGTTCAGACATGTTCTTACAGACCCCAGGAGCAGGTGGGACTTGTACCCAGGCCCCCTGGCTGAACGATAGGGACACTACCATTGCACACAAGAGCACTATGCTGTGTGTTTGCATAGAACTAGGGATTAATTAGCCAGGAACTAATTATTTAAATGTTCCAGAAGTGACATTTACAACTATCGTGGAGAGGCATGTGATGTGAAACACTGATCTTAGGCTGTCTTCTTACCAGTAAGCATGGTAAGCTGTGTTAAACACAGCTCTAACCTTGCCGAGTTTGAAGTGTGACTATTTCTAACATATAATGACCACAAAGTTGCAATTCTTACATTTTCTTCTTCCCTCACCAAGACAGAATTCTTGTTTTCTGATTTTAGTTGCTCAGGAACTAGAACCTCCGAATCAGCATTGATATGAAGAAACACTGTCACTTGACATCGCAGTTGTAGCCACTGCCTCAGATACTGACATTGTATATATTATACATAATTATTCAGAGGAAAAATTACAATGATGTCAAGTACAGGGCACAAGTGTTCAGTAGTCAGGACAGGAGAAAAGGTTAGTGCATGTATTAGCTCACCAGCTGGCAAAGTCACTCATGAGTTCTGCTGCAGATGACTCAAATGGGATCTTGGATGCACTAATGAAGAAGGTTGATGGATGTACATAACTCGATACTTGATGCCAGAAAACCATTGCAGAATGGAATCCAGCTCCAAAGTCTTTCAAGAGTTTGATGAGGGCTTGGAGCTCACCCATTTCAACAAAGAACACATGGTCACTGTCATATGAAGCAATAGTTGTGAAAGGATTAATGTTCTCGCTTCGTTAGCTCTAGCATTTCTTATAATGTCACACACAATGTTCCCTCAGCCACTACAGGGTTCTGCACACACCAATCGGCACGCCAACACATTAACTTCTGGTTTTGGAAATCAATGACACACATGGATCTCGGAGATCTATGCACTAAAGAAAATATTAGAGGCAATATTGGTGGTTCTGCTCCAGCTTTAAGAGGCAGCAGATGTATCTGGACAAATTCCCTAAAGTCCAAGTATTTCTGCCTGATCAAATGTAGTTGTACTTATTGCCATTATGCAGTAGATTTTTTTTACTCATTTGAGGGATATGGGCATCACTGGCTGGCCAGCACTTATTACCTATGCGTGGTTGCTCTCAAGAAGGTGGTGGTGAGCTTTCTTCTTGAACCGCTGCAGTCCACCTGCTGTGGATTGACCCACAATGCCATTAAGGAGGGAATTCCAGGATTTTGGTCCAGCAACAGTGAAGTAATGGTGATATATTTCTACGCCGGGATGGTGAGTGGCTTGGAAAGGAACTTAAAGGTGGTGGTGTTCCGATACATCTGCTGCCATTGTCCTTCTAGATGGAAGTGGTTGTTGGATTGGAAAGTGCTGCCTGAGGATTGTCATCTAAGAACAGTACCTCTTCTGTAGTTATTCTAATGTGGTGGGTCCTCTAGGCCCAAGATGAAGCAAAAACAAAGGAGAATGGTTGGCAGCTAAGTCCTTCAAGCAAACCATACCTGATATTACATAACGATTGAAGTGGCAAATACTGCAAGGTATTGGGAGTGGTCATTTTGAAAAATAGTGCATAATTGAAGCAGTGCGATCTGTCCCCCATCCCAGGA